GCAGGTGTGGTCAGAACTTATACCAAGGGTCCCTGACCTCTAGAGCATTTTTAGGGTCAGGAAAGCACTAGCTCGGTACTAGAGCACTGGCTCTAGGACTAGTACAGTTCCCCCCCGCCCCAGCTTATTCTGTCCACAACAACAAGGCCCCAGCAGTGCAGTAGGTGACATCCTAGCTCTGCCACTGTGTGTGACCTTGAGGTTCAGTTTCTTTTTTTTTTTTTAATTTTTTTTTAAATTTTTTTTTTTTTAGTTCTTGGCGGACACAACATCTTTGTTTGTATGTGGTGCTGAGGATTGAACCCGGGCCCCACGCATGCCAGGCGAGCGCGCTACCGCTTGAGCCACATCCCCAGCCCGAAGTTCAGTTTCTTTATCAATCAAATGAGGATAGTATCTATCCATGTCATAGATTTGTTTTAGGAATATCCTAGTTAAACTAAGGTGCTGAGGACTGGGCCTGTCATTCAGCTCAGCTGCCACTAGTAAATGCTCTTCCGGGCTTCAGTCTTTTGCTTGGTACAGAGTAGGAGCTCAGTTGTACACCTGAACAATCACGCATGCTGATGGATCCTGATATGTGAGAGGTTCTTCTCCTGCAGTCCCTGCCATAGGGAGGCCTTCTTGGGAGGGCCTGATCAGGCAGATCATGCTCTTCTAACCTCTTAGGCTCGAGCCCAGAGGAAACAGCAACTTTCTTCGCTGGGAAAGTGTTGTGGGGCTCAAGTGTTTGGGGGTTTTCAGAGTCAACCGTCAGAGGCGAGGGAGTTTCTCTGCTGGTGGTGGCAGGGGCTCTCAGCATGCACACAGCTTGTGAGCACAGCAGACCGCTGCGGTCTGCAGGGAAAATGCCGACTGTGTTTATTTTTCACCTGAGCCTGCAGGAAGTGGGAGGGGGGGTTGGGAGGAGGCAGGGGCAGCCCAGCCAGACCCAAGATCGACTCCATAGCAGACACCTACCTCAAGAGTCCCCCATTTCCACCTCCCTCTGCCTGGCCCTTTCCTGACTCCAATCTGCAAAAAAAGAGGACGACACACTAGAGCACCAGATGAGAAATTTCTAGCCATCTGCTACGGAAAGTGTCCCTAAAAGGGAGGAGCACCTTTGGGATGGTAGACTTGAATAGATGTGGAGAAAGGTCTTTGAACAGTAAGAACAATGTAGCATCAGGAAGGACCACCTCTTCTGGGGGTGAGCTGGATCCAAGCATCCAGCAGGAAACTGGACAGTATTGGTGGGGACTGATGATGGGTGACTCTCAGCCTTAGGGTCTGAGTCCTGGACCTGTCCTGAAGTGCCACAGGCTGGTGGGAGGGGCCATGAGGGCTCAGGCAAAGGCAAAGAACAGGGACCTGGGGTATTTTGAGAGAAGAGTACAGACATTACTTATGTATTAATGCATCCCATCATGCTCTAAGCCCTTACTGTGTACTCTGCTCTCAGAGTAAGAGAGATGAGGTTGTGCTCTTGAGGCACTCAGGGCCTGGTGGGGATAGTCCATCCAGGCCTGCCTGCCCTCCCTTGGGGGCTGGGCATGGTTACCATAAGTGAACCCACCCTGTTTTCTGGAAGCCTGACCCTGGGACAGTCTTGTGCTGGAGCCCTGGAACGGGCAGGGGGAATAAGGGGCCCTGTGCTAGACGGTTCACCTCTGGCTACTACCACTAGATACGGAGAGGGCTGGGGAGTGAGGCTTGGAGGCAGCCTGCATGAGCATGGAAAGGACTGGCCACCCCAGGCCCTCCAACCGACAGTAAGCTCTCTGCCCCACCCTGCCCACCCAGCACTTCTGTGGTTTGGCTGGAGGCTCCTGCTTAATGAGGCTTTTCCCCTGTTCCCAGGGAAGGTTGGTAGATAAGACAAACCCATTTCCCCCAGAACTCTCATCATTCCACTGCCTTGTCACGTGCATACATAGCAGGCCAGCAGCTATAGTTTGAGCTGTTTTCTCTGAGGTTCCACAGGCCCAGTCTGAGCTGTGCTATGACCTGGGGCAAGCCACCCTCTTGTTGCCTTGCAGCGGCTCTGGGCAGAGTACATAGGACTGTCTTCCTAAAGCTGGCACCTTGGATTCCAGGCCCTGCTTCTAAGGTTTTTCAGGGTCAGAGCTGTCCATACCCAGCTTTCCCTCTAAGCTACCTAAGCCTCCTCAGTCCTAAGGGTTAAGGAGCCAGAGCCAAGTTTGGATGGTAGCGCCTTCTCTGAAGCAGGAGTGTAGACTTGAAAACCTCCTGATTCTGGAGGCAACTGTACAGGTGTCATCCCACCTGGGGAGCTGAGGCTCCAGGCGTTTGTACCTTTAGATAGTGAATGGTGGAATGCTTTCTGCCAGGGTCTAATGTTCCTTTGTGCCCAGTTTCCCTGCCCTCAGCTGCCAAAGCCTACCATCTGGTTAGTGCTGTTCTGGGAACCTGTTAGGACAAAAAGACCTCAGGGATTTCTAGGAAGCTTCTTACTTGAATAGATGCTTAGCTTCTGCTTCCCAACTGACTTCATATCAGAGGATGGAGAAGGATGCTGGAGGCTGAAACACCTATGGGTAATCCTGGGTATTGTAAGCAAGAATAAGAGTGGAAGATGCCAGAGGGAGCCTCGCACAGAGCTTTGCAAGCCCCAGGTGAGGAAAACAGGGAGGCCACTGGAGGATTTAGGCAGATGAGTGACATGACCTGACTTATTTGGCTATTGGAGGAAAGACTGGCAGAGGGGACAGGGAGGAGACTGCTGCAGTTGTCCAGGTGAGAAGTGACAACAGCTTGTACTAGGTGGGGGACAGGAAAGAAGGTAAAAGTAGGTGGATTCTAGATTTATTTTTTTTATTATTATTATTATTTTTTTTTTGCAGAAATTGAATCCTAGAGTACTCTCGCAGCTTTTTTTATTTTGTGACAGAATCTTGCTAAGTTGTCAAGGCTGACCTCAAATTTGTGATCCTCCTACTTCAGCCTTATGAGTAGCTGGGATTACAGGTGGATGCCACTGCACCTGGCAGATTCTAGATTTTGAGGTAGAAAGTTGGTCATGGGGTATGAGAAAGAATCAAGGACGACTACAAGGTTTCTGGTCTGAGCAACTCTTCAGGTTGGAGTTATCAACTGAGGAAGAGGGGAGCATATGGAGTAGAAAGTCAAAAGTTCTAATTTGGATATTTTTGGAGTTTGGGGGGCATTTTAGACCTCCAAGCAGAGTTGAATAGGCATTTGGAATGTGGAGTCCCATGAGAAGTGGGTCTGGAGATAGAAATGTGGAGTCATTGGATGAAGATGTTTAAAGTAAGAGCCTGGAAGAGAAAGGTATTGGGGAGTCAGAAAAAGTGGGCCTCTGGAGTTGGAGGGAAATTAGGCAAATGTGTAGCATTCTGAAAGCTAAACGAAGAAACTCTGCTTCAAAAAGGAGGGAGAAACCAATTGTGTCTGATGCTGCTAAGAAATCAGGTAAAATGAAGACAGAATTGACCTGAGAGTCCAGAATTGTGGAAGTCATTGGGGACCTTGATAGTAGTTTCTGGTAGAGGAACGGGTTGAAGGAAGAATGAGAGCTGAGAACTAGAGGCTAGGCCTGCTGGGGTTTCTATAAAAGGGAGTGAGACATGAGTTGGTAGTTAGGGGAGGATTTAGATAGAAGTGGCAGCCCGTGTGCACTTTGGTAGGGATGAAATTGGACTTGTGAGGTGCTTGGCACAGTGCCTGGCATGTGGTAGGTACTCAGTGTCTGATGGATATCACATGTGTCCACACATCCCACACCTGCCCCAGCCTACCTCTTTACCTGTTGCTAGCCATCTATCAGGACATCAGCTCCTGTCTGCCTGGGGCAAAAGAACTGGTGTAGCTTATAGCCTGGAGGCAGGAATGCAGGGGCAGATGGCAGGCCAGGGCTGTTGCTGAGAGCTGTGGGAGCCTGTGCCCAGCTGGGAGCTTCACTTCCTGGTTATACTGGGTTTCATACCCAGCTTTCCCTACATCCTTACCCTGGACCCCCAATAGACAAGTACCAAGGAACCTGTGCTAGGCTCCAGCCTTTACCAAGAGAGGAAACTGAAGATCTGAAAGAATCTGGTTAAATTCACCTGGCAGGGAATTTTACCCTAGGAGGCCAGAATACAACCACCTTCTCATTACTGTCTTGCCCCAAAAGATGTCCCCTCTTTCTTCTGTGCCACGGGTCTGAGATCACTCATCTGTACTCTTAGCCAGCAGCATCCCCAGAAACATTCTGAGTGGGAAGCTGAGCCTTGACTGGATGATGAGTCTCCAGAGCTCTGGTCTGCGTAGGTGTGCACTGAGGACATGCAGAGCTGGGCCTTGGGCATGGCAGTGACTCCCTGTGGCTGGGTTATATAGAGAGACCTTTCCCCCAGCCTGCTGACTGAGTCATTTCAGGACAAAGAGCTGTGCGCCTAGTGTGAAAAGTGAGAGTCCTGAGGAAAGTAAGAGTGCTGAGGAAACCGGAAGACTGGGGGCTGGGCAGGTTGGCCCCACCTCTCTTGAGTTAGGGGACCAAGGGGGGGAGGTCCTGCCTGGTGTCACCATATCCAGTTAGCACTGAGGTGGGGCTAAGGGTCGGACTCAGGACCCCAAGTCTAGGGGCTGGAAGAGGAAAAGCTCTAAGTCTTGCTGCCTGGGGCTGGTGGCTGTGAGTAGCCCTTATAAATAAGCCACTAGTTCTCAAACAAGCTGGATAGTCTCTGGGAAAAGTAGGCTAGAAAGATTTCCCAGACAGGATGCCTCTGGGAACTGAGTGCCCAGAAAATCCAAGAGGTTTTGATTACCTGGGCAAAGTGTGGGGGCTAAAGGGCAGAAGACTGCACTGCTGGACACAGGGTGGGTTGAGTGGTGGATGCCCTCTTCCCTGAGGCCTGTGGTTTTGGCTAGCACCACTTCTTTGACAGTTGAGCTGCCCACACTGCTCACTGCAGCTCTGCCTATATGCATGTCCCTACCCTCATGACTTCCTCCTTCAGGACTCCCCAGGTTCACCTGCCCTCCTAATTTTTCAGAACAAGGCCAATCAGCCAACTCACAGTGTCCCCCAACTGTCTCCTCTCTACGAACATTTCAGCAGCCCACACCCCACACCTGCACCTTCGGACATCAACCAGAAACAAGGTATGGGCCTGGAATAGGGAGGGGTCTGATGCGAACAGCCTAAGGCTTTCTATTTTATAATGAGAGAACCTGAGGCTGTGCAAATCAAGGATCCAAAGAAAATGCCAGAAAGATAATTTGGGGAGTCTGAGGGAACCAGAGGACTGGGTAGATGGTGCCAGGTCAGAATATGAAGCCTTAAAGTTGGGGTAGAAGCCTGCCCCAGTGGCAGTGTAAGCTTCTGATCACTATGAGCAGCTTCCTGTCCTAGTGAGAAAATGGAAAGTGGTGGTTGTGATGGCTGATTCACCTCCCCTCAGCCAAAGTCATTCTGAAATCTATTGTCAGCTGTAGGAAACCTGCTGACTCAAACCTGGGGGACTGGTTAGTAGGGGGGAGGCCTGGCATCCCAGGTAAGGTTCCTCTCGACTAGGGCCTATCTCCTGGTCAGAAAGCCAGGCAGAGCCCCCAGCAGAGAGGCTCCAACTGCAGAGCTTCAGTGGCCCAGGGAATGGTGAGGCCTAGCCGCCACCTCCTGAGGACTGCCTACTGGTCAACCAGTGCCCTCTGGCAAGTCACCCAACCCCTCTGCCCTTGGTTCCCTTGCCTGTCAGAAGGCCACTGTTTTCATGCTGGGATAGTCCTAAACAAACCAGTTTGTCTGAACCTCTAGCAAAGAGAGGTTGCTCTAGGATGCAGGAACTGCTGAAGTCACCCCCAGATCAAGCTAGCCCAGTTACTTGGCTCTTCTCCATGGCAGGAGTTCACAGGCCTCTGCAGACCCCTGACCTCTCTGGCTTCTACTCTCTGACCTCAAGCAGCATGGGACAGCTCCCTCATACTGTGAGCTGGTGAGTATGGGCCCAGTGGGAAGGGGAAGGGGGCACTGTGTGGTGGTTGAACGTTTCCTGCCCTTCCATGTTCTTTACAAACACCATAGGATGACCAGCAATTGTATCCCAACCTGCTCTGAGCTAGGGGTTCTTGTGGTTGGTTCCCTGGCCCAGGGCATTCCCCAGAGAGCTTGACATATTTCCTCTAGAGAGGCCAGAGAGCTGGCTGTTGGTTCTAGCCCTATGAAACCTGAACTCTCCATCATAGTAGAACTCTGGAGCCATATGAGTATGTGAGGAAGAAAAGGTAGGCCTGAGCAGGGAGGTGACAGCATGAATAGCCACCAGAGAGGGTGCTGCTTCTCAGCTGCCTGGTGGGCAGGGGGACACTTCCCACTAGCCCCAACACCTGCTGTTGGCTGGTCTCTTCCATGGCTGAGCTGCTTGAACAGCAGGTTCCCCTTGTCCCTGTAGTACCTGATTGAGCTCAAGCCCCTGACCAGCCTGCTTGGAGGGTGTACTAAGGCTAGGATAGAAAAAGCCAGCCTGGACCCAAGTCAGAAGGCCTGACTGTGGGCCAAAGGATCTATCCTCAGCTTAAATGGGGTCTTCGCAGGCCACTTAGTCATTTACTTGTCATCCATAACGTTACCTGTACAGATAGGCTCTCTGGAGTAGAGCAATCAACCAGCGGAAGGAAAAGTTGGCTTCCCAGGAAGGGTAGGGAAGGCCAAAGGTGCAGCATGCCCCCTTTCCCTTACCCTGCACCCACGTTCAGCACACTCCTTCAATTCCTAGATTCTCTTTGGACAAAGTGCCATTATAAATACAAATCCGGACTATCCTCAGGATCAAAGGTGGGATGACGGTGCTTAGGCCAGGCACCGTGGCACACACCTGTAATCCCAGCAACTCAGGAGCCTGAGGCAGGAGGATTTCGAGTTCAAAGCCAGCCTCAGCAACTTTGTAAAGCCTTAAGGAACTCAGTGAGACCCTGTCTCTAAATAAAATACAGAAAAAGGGTTGGCGATGTGGCTCAGTGGTTAAGTGCCCCTGAGTTCAATCCCCAGTTAACTCTCCAGAGTACTGTAGGCTAGTAGCTCCAAGGCCAAGAGACTTGAGCCTAGAGGGGATATTTACCCACTTAGGCTCTAATGAAGGTCTTTAGGGACAGGGAGGGAGAGCCCTATGTTCTTAGCTCTTACCAGGCAGCACTTGTTTGCCAGACTCTGAACTGAGCCTTACTGTGTGCCAGGTAGGGTTATGGGTGTCAGGGAAGCACTGCTTCAGCTGTCTTATCCTTAGGTCCCTGACCTCTCCAAACTCAGTTTGCCCAGTGATCCAGGCAAGAAGCCAGGCAGTTGCAGTACACTGTTAGCATTGCTTTGGATGGGGGCTGTAGGAGCCCATAGGGGTACCTTATCTAGCTTGGAATCTCTGGGCTTTTGGAGAAAAGAGTGACAGCCAAATAAGACCCAAAGGATAAACAAAGAGTGAAAGCAAGCAAATTGAAGCAGAAAAGTAATCCAGACATTATCAGTAGAGGATGAGAGGCCCTTGTACAGGTATCAGCCCTATATTATCAAGGAAATTTAGGAGACAGGCTAGAGGGGCCTCAGGAAGCCTGCTAAGCTAGGTCCCAGGAGAATAGCAGTTCCAGCCCTTAAGCACAAGCTGGTCCAGTGAAATAAGGGCAAGGTGAAGTACAAGTTGCCCCCTGGTGGCAGATGCCAGAAGTAATCCCAGCAGAAGCCAATCTGTTTCAAAGACTATGGGTCAGACCAAGAAGGTACAAAAGCTTTCCCCATGTCTGGTTGGCAGCCAGACTGCTAACAGCTGTCTCTCCCAACCACAGGCCCAGCCCTCCTCTCTACCCCCTGTCCCCTTCCTGCGGATATAGACAGCACTTCCCTGCCCCCACTGCAGCCCCTGGCACCCCCTACCCCAGGTGAGTCCCCTACCCCTGCAGCCAGGCTCCTGCTTCCTGTTGCCCAGGCTTAAGTGCCCACACAAGGCCATGCTCAGGCCAGTGCTTACCCCGTGTTAGTTGTTTGTCCATCTGTCTGCCTGTCATCCTGCAGCCCCCTGCTGCCCTAATGCCTGACAGCAAAACTGGTAGGAGTTTAAGAGGCCCCAGTCCAGGCCATATGTGCAATAAAGCAACAAAGAAGCTAGGATAGCAGTGCATGCATAGCTCAGCCAGTGTGCAGATGTGTGTGCACTCACCTCTGTTCTGCATCCCTACTGGGGCATCCCATGAGCTCTGCCCAAGTTGAGGCAGCATCTTCTACATAAGTGTCCCCAGCCTCTGTCCTTCAGGGGGTTGCCTGCTCAGGGATCCTATACCTGTGCAAGCAGCAAGGGGCACAGTGATCTCCACAGAACAGTAAGGAAGTAAGCTGGGAGGTGAGGTGAGTGTACAAGTGTCCTTTCATTTAGCTTATTCCCTCAGTGACAGACCTTGTGTCAAGAATGTAACAGCAAGGAATTCAGCAGTCATTTCCAGTTCCACTGGAGCTCCCAGCTCAGGGTGAGAGGTATAGATACAGCATAGCTATAAGTGGGCCAGTGGGTAATCAGGAAGCCCCCAAGGAGACTGCAAGCAGGCTTGATGGGTCAGAGAGCGCCTCGTGGAAAGGGTTAACATTTCCTGACAGGGATAAAGGGAACAGCTTTAACAGGGCTTAGCTATGGGTGGAGAGTGCTGGGAAATGGGTTAGAAATGAAGCTAGAAATGTCAGCATGGATGCTTAAGCAGGGCTGTGCAGGACTTGGGGAAAAATCTGGATTTTATTCTGTGGGCAGTGGGAAAATTTCAGCATTCTTTTAAATGGTCACGCTAGCTGTGTGTGGAAAGGGCCCTGGAGGGGGTCAAGTAGGAGTGAGGAGGCCCACAGGCAGCCCCCAGCTCTTCAGCCTGACTTGGTGGCAGCAGGTGGGGAGAAGATGATACATTTGAAAGCTACTTGGGACTATTTAGTAACCACCCAAATGGCATATCCATGCAGTGTCTGTATAATGTGTGGGGAGCAGATATTTGTATGTATCTCTGTATATGTGTGTCCAGGTCAGTGGGGATGGGGAATCTGTTCCTCTGTGTCCTTGTCTACTGTGCATGGGCCTCCATGTATGTCTGAAGGTCTGCCCATAATTCCTGGCTCAGTGTTAATTCTCTTCCTGTTTCCAGGTTTACCCACCCATCCTTGATGCTGGGCTCTGGTGTCCCTGGTCACCCAGCAGCCATCCCCCACCCGGCCATTGTGCCCACCTCAGGGAAGCAGGAGCTGCAGCCCTATGACCGCAGCTTGTGAGTAAAAACACACTCTGTGGGTGAAGGGGAACAAGAAGGTATAAGATGGCCAAGTGAACAGATCTATTGTTAGCCAGGTCACACATGCCTCCCACCAGACCCAAGAACTGCCTGGTGGTCCCTCTAAGCCTTCTTGTGGCTCTAGCTACTGACCACTGTTTTAGCTCTCTGCTCATTCATTTGGGTCAGCTAAAAGAGAGTCCATTTACAAAGCCTTAGAGGATCATACACTTACGCACCCACACTCAAGGAAGGTGTTCAGTGATTAGCGGGGAGGGATTTGGTCCTGAGCAGTCTGTATATCTGTCCCTTAGGAAGACACAAGCAGAATCCAAGGCAGAGAAGGAGGCTAAGAAGCCAACCATTAAGAAGCCCCTCAACGCGTTCATGCTGTACATGAAGGAGATGAGAGCCAAGGTCATTGCAGAGTGCACACTCAAGGAGAGCGCCGCCATTAACCAGATTCTAGGTCGCAGGGTGAGGCCATGGGGCAAGTGGGTTGGGGGGACTTCTGATCCCTTTCACCCTGCTGACTCTGTAATGCACCCCATTCCCCCCCACCCCTGCAGTGGCATGCACTGTCAAGGGAAGAACAGGCCAAGTATTATGAATTGGCCCGTAAAGAGAGGCAGCTGCACATGCAACTATACCCAGGCTGGTCAGCGCGGGACAACTACGTGAGTGGCCAAACACATCCATCAAGGGTGGGCAGGGGAACCTTCAAAATATTGTGGGGCATGGAGAGTCCAAGGCTCAGAAGAGGCAAGCCTGGGGAGCTACCCTAAAGCCAAGCCCACACATCCTGTTCTGCACTCTAGAATCCATTTGCACATGGGATGATGCCAGTATTTGGGCCACATGGTAAGAAGGGGAAGGGGCCATTCAAATTGTAGACCAGATTGGGAGAGGGAAGAGCCCCTAAATGTACTCCATGGCAGCCTAGCAAGAACTGCAATCAAGAAACTATAGGACCCCCAGGTTGGAGGAGCGTGAATGTCCAGAATTCCAGGGGTAGTTAGGCTAGGCAGTAGCTGCAGATAGCCCAGTGTCTACCTCCCAAATCTAAGTATCCTTCCTTTTTTCCCTGCAGGGGAAAAAGAAGAGGCGGTCAAGGGAAAAGCATCAAGAATCTACCACAGGTGAGGCCTTGCCTCAACAGTAGTCTCCTCTCCATGCTTCCATTTTAAGAGCAGCTCTGCTCTGGCCCAGAGGGGTTAGCAGAGCATTCAGCCAGGAACCTTCAGGGCCTGGGCCCTCTGGAAATGAAGGCCTGCATTTCACAAGTCAAATTCCCAAGCAATGAACAGCTATACTAAATCCAAGGGAAGACCAGCTCCCCTTGACACCCAGGGGAGAGGGGTCTTCATTTAGCAGGTGATATATCCTCCACTTTTGTCAGCCCTGCCTATGGTTAAACTCTACCAGTGTGGTTCCAGGAGTAAGCCAGAGTATGCTGGCTGTCTAGTTCTGCTGAGAGGAGGAGCAGGCTGTCTGGGCAGAAGCTGACCAAGGCCCAGGCCCAGCCCAGGTCACACAGTCTGCTAGCTAGTGCCTGGGAATTTCTCCACCATCATATCCCCATCTCTTACCCTGGTTTCTCATGGCAATGTAAAGTGCTCTGTGTAGAGATCCCAGGAAACCCACACTCTGCAGGTCTCCTTCCTGTGGGTGAATTCCTGCTTCACATGCATGACTTTCTCAGCTGTGTTGCCCCTACAGTGGGAAGCTGGAAACTAGGATTGGGACTGTGCGGACAAAGTCTGCAGCTCTTTCTCTGAGGCTACACAGAGTGTAAGTTGTAGCCTTAGCCCTTAAGGGAATTTGGGTGAGAAAGACTGGGCATTGGCAAGAATGAAGAAAAACTGGATAAAATAGGAAGGCAGTCGGGAAAGAGATGGACAGCCCCAGTGCAGAAAAGGCTGGATCCCAAGAGCCTCCCTGGGCTTCTCTGCAGTCTCCAGGTTAGGAGGGTTCCCACAAGCAAAAGAGAGGAGCCAGCCTGAGGACCCCTACCCCACCTCACCATTCTTCCCTCTGACTCTATTGCCCAGCTGGGTTACCTCCTTTCCTGAAACCTTGCTCTGGGGCCTAGGGCTGTGCCATGGAGAGTTCCATTTTCCTTTGGGGGCTGTGGGATGTCTATAACTGGCTAACACTGATATTACCTCTTCTTTCTGGGCCCTGCTCTGCCCTGCTGCCTGCCTGCTCGCCCTCTGCCCTGCTCTGCCCCTCTGGCATGGCTGTGAGCAGACAATGGCTCGCCTAAGAAATGTCGTGCTCGCTTTGGCCTCAACCAGCAGACGGATTGGTGTGGTCCCTGCAGGTGGGTTTGTCCCCACCATCATTCTCCCTTTGCTTCAAGCTGCTTCCCTGACTACACATGTTCTGCTGGGCCTGCAGCCCTCTCTGGTCCCTCAGCCCCCTGGCATACCCAAGAGATAAATAGGGGAACCCATGCCTCCTAAGAATGGGAGTGAACATTGAACACAGATTGTGACAGCACTTGGGTCTAGGTGGAAGCAATGGAGGAGGACATGCAGAATGTTCCAGAAAGGAAAGCAGACTTAAAGAGATGGCTCTGGTGCCAGCCTGGCCTAGTAGGTCCTTAGCAGACAGATCTGTCACCTATCATTCAGGAAGCCTAAGCCCCTAAATCATTATGGCTTTCCACTTCTTCAAAGTGGGACCCATGCCTATTCCATCCCAAGCCCTTAAATCTGAGAAAAACGAAATGATAACATCAGACAACCACCTAGACAACCTTGTCACCAGGCAGCCTATGATTTTCTTCTCTCATACCTACTGAAATCAGAGGGCTGGAGAGGTTAGGAGAGAGAAGCAGCATTACTCTTGGACTGTCTTACCCAGAGAGCCCTGTGGCACTAAACTTCTGTTTTTTTATCATGGGTATGAAAAGTTTCATCCACCAAGTGGTTAAAGATGCCTTTTTTAGGCCATAGCTGACAGAGCCAAGGCTGAGGGTACTCAGACAGTAAGGTCACTGGCTCTATGGAACACTTGTCCAGCCCTCTGGTATGCCTATCATTGTCACTATTCAAGGGCAAGGAGAAAGGAATTTGTCGGTGGAGGCACGTGTGCATACATGAGGTCCTCATCATTCTGTTACTAAAAAGACCAACTATGGCTTTGAGAATTCTAGGTTGTAATATAGAAGAGTCCCAGTCCACTTCTTCTCCCCTTAGCCCTGCTCTGAAGACATGGATTGCTCAGCCAAGAACTACAGGCATTGCAGTCCTTTGCCTTAATGTAGATCTCAGTCCCCACAAACATGAAACAGAAGCTTAAAGACCCACACTAGGAGATGGCTTCCTTGGGGGGAGGGGGGCCCCCACAGGCCAAGTTACAAAAGGTCCCCACCTTGTGGTTGTTCTGAAAACTGCACCTGACCTAGTCTGGGCCAAACCCAAGAGTTGCAGGGCTGATTCAGGTTTGAGGACATAAGCACATCCATCACCCAAGTCATGGGAGAGGACAAGAGGTCAGCCAACCTGTGCAAAGACAGCATTTTTTTGGTTTTGGTGTATGACTGTGAATTCACCCTCTGTTTACAGATAACTCTCTTCACTATTCCTAGGAGGAAAAAGAAATGCATTCGGTACTTACCCGGAGAAGGCCGCTGCCCCAGCCCCGTTCCTTCCGATGACAGTGCTCTAGGCTGCCCTAGGTCCCCAGCTCCCCAAGACTCACCCTCATACCTTCTGCCCCTCTTCCCCACAGAACTGCTTGCTAGCCCAGTGGAGTCGGCACCAACATCCCCACGTCTCTCCACTATTCTCAGTCTCCCTGCCCCTGGACCACCACAGGCCCCTCACAGCACCCTGCAGAACACACAAGTACAGCAACAGGAATCTCAGAGGCAGGCGGCCTAGCATGCACAGGACTCCTGGCCTCCTCCAGAGGCCTAACCCTTTAGAGAAAGCAGAAGCCCTAGTCATATGGAAACTGGCCAGCAGCCCTCCCAATGCTCCATGTAGGGTCCATGCCCTGAAGATTTCAGAGGCTGAAAAACTTCTGCCTGAACGTGAGGCCATCAATTCAAACTTCTGAAGTGGTGGGACCATATTAATGCCAGTGTGTCGTCTCATTAAGGGAATCCTGATGCCTGTGGCAGCCTGCATTGTGGTGTCCCCCACCCTGCTCCAAACCATGTGCTTTACTAGCCAGATACCCTTGTCTCCCTTGCTTTTCTGCTATAGGTCACAGAAGGGCAGGACTAAGCTCAGCTACATTCTCTACAGAAATGCCTCATCTGTCCTCTGCCACACCCTTCCCACACCAGACACTTCCATGGATCAAGAATAACCTGTTTGATATTATCAAACAACATCTGAGCATGATCACAACCACAAAGCTCAAGATGACTATGCTTCTCCAAAGGGAATGGAGGAGCTGTTTACAGAAAACCAGCTGCTCTTCATAAGCTGGACCAGAGGAAGCCTCTTAGTATATTCTCAGGAGCTTAGAAGAGGAGGAGGGAATAGAATAGGTTTAGGCCTAACAACTTATCAGGCAAATTCGGGTTCCTGAGCAACTTAAGAAACCCTGACACCAAAGCTCAGGCACCAGATGATGCAGGCAAACAGTTCAAAGAAGTCATGGCCCAAATCTAGTGTGTATCCCTCTCTATTCAGTCTTTTTCACAGTTCCATTTCCAGCTCATTCATGTCACTTGAGCCAGCTCTTAGGCAATTTGAGAGAGTAAACCCAAAACCTCCTCCAATAGCCAGAGCTTGCCTTCTAGCATTCAGACCAGGCCAGCGTGTTTTTTTCCCTTTGGGGCTGAAGGAAAGAGGACTGTTAAAACTAAAGGAACCCAGAAACCTCTAGTGGTGGACATAAGTTTTCACCACAGCCTACTTTAATCAATTTTTGAGCCAAGCTTCAACCCTGAGCCTTGAGAAACAAGTCTTTTATTTTAATTTAACTTTTTTTTTTCCTTTTGCCTTCTCCTCATTGTACATAGCCTGAATCCAAAGAAAAAGGGCTGTCTGTGTACTCGTATACACCCTTACAAAAAGCCTTTAGTTACATACTTTAGCCACTGGTTTCTCAGAATCCAAAGATCACCTATTCTTGTGTAGTGTTGCAAAAAGTCTTGAGAAAAAAGGACCAATGTAGTGTTCAAAATATTTTTGTATTGTTAATGCATCATCAAAGAAAACCTTTTTTTTTAAACATGAGAATAAAGATACTTTTTACTGGGTTTATTTTTCAGAGTCTGACCCTGAGGAATAAGATGTTTGGGTAACAGCATGACATTTACCTTTTCTTCTCCAGTCACAAAACTTGGGGGTTAATTGCCTAATATGGTGTACATATTCCCAAGACTTCCAACCTTCAGAAACTAGAGATCACCCTTGTCATTTACCCTATAAGGACGTGGACCCCCACCCCTAAGGCTGGGCTCATGCTGAGAATAAGCTTAAGACTACAGACCTTTACCCCACAACTGATGCAGCAAAACCTGTTTTCCAGTGCCCTTATGAAAAGTGATGAGTTGGAAACTGCTATCCTATAGACCCTGAAAACAAAATAGTTGCATATGAACACTAGGCTTTTTCCCTGAGAGCAGAAAAAAAAATATCCTGTTTTCAAGGAAAATAAAAGCGATCAATCTCTTACAACTGCCCATCATCATAAAATCCTACAAAAAAGATTTTAATAGCACTCTTTGCTGGCAACGATTATGTCTATTAGGGTACTAAAAGTATTTTTCCTGCTGGGTACGGGAGGCCCATCTCTATAATCCCAGAGGCTCAGGAGGCTGAGGCAGGAGGATCACAAAGCTCAAAGCCAGCCTCAGCAATTTAGTAAGACCCAAAGCAACTGAGACCCTGTCTCTAAATTTATTTTTTAAAAGGGCTGGGATGTGGCTCAGTGGTTAAGCACCCCTGGGTTCAATCCCCAGTACCAAAAAAAAAAAGGATTTTTCCTATTTTTATAAAATACCCGTTTAGTTTGATTGCTGATCTATAGTATGCTTTTTATAATGCAATTAATTACCATGCTAAAATACACTGCTAACTTCCTGAAACCTACTGTGAATGTGAAAGAGATCATAAAAACCACTCTGATCAGTTGGCCATTAGATAAATGCTGGGCAAAAAATTTCACAAGGCACAGCCACTAAGCCACCATTATGCATTGTTTTTTCTTTTAACTTTTTTGGATTTTATATTTTAAAAATATTTATTATAAAGTCATCTTCTAGAGTAGTGTTTCTTTAAAATAGGCCACTGGAAGCTGTAATCCCAGTCTTACTTCTTTGTGGGAGGTGCTACAGGAGACCAACCATTCTCTGGACATCTGTCCCATTTTAAAGAATTCCACTCTGGCTACTGGCCTAGTTGTTTCAAAAAATACATTCTAAACAGGGCTTCTTGCAAGGCTGGGTTGTTGCATCTGATTTGGTGTCTTATTTAGAGTACACTGGATACATAAACAATGCACCCTTTGTATAGTGGTGGTGGGGGGGGCGTCCTTTGGCAACTTTGTTAGACCAGTCTTTTAGGAAAAAAGAAAAACACAAAAACCACCTGATTTCCAAAAGGAAATTCAAATCCTCACTCACTCCACCATGTTCCTATGAAGCCAGAGAATGACTTGAGATTGCAAACCCAAATTCAACTTCAAATACCATACCAGTTTCCCCTCACCGCTAGCCAAGAATCAACCATGTTTTCTGAGACATCACAGGACAGGATACCCTTATACATTCCCAGACAACTGACAGACTTAAGCCTTTCTTGAAACAGATATTGGCTGCTCCCATTTACTGCAACTGCCCCCCATCCTGTGCTAAGTGGATTCAATGAAGGCTCAGCCTAGCAAATTAAGCAGGGCATTCCCATGTCTTTTTTTTTTTTTTTTTTAACTGGGGATTGAGCCCAGGGCTGTTCTACCACTGAGCTACATCCTCAGCACCCCCACTTTTTTTTAAAAGACAGGGTTTTGCTAAATTGCCCAGGCTGCCCTCAAAACTTAAGATCCTCCTGCTTTGGAGTCACTGGGATTACAAGTGTGTGTCACTGCACCCAGCTCATGTCTCCCAATTTGAAGGTGTTTTCCTCTTTTCTAATTAGCCCAGTGACTACCCTTGAGCTTTTTTTTTTTTTGGGGGGGGGGGAGGGTTGGTTCCATAACCTAGGGCCTCATGCATGCTAAGCAAGGAGTCTAACTGAGCTACATTCCCAATCTTTAGAAATATCTTTTGAAGGACTCCTGTGGTCTCAAGTTCTCTGGCTGCAGAGTCCCAGGCTGGCATAGAAGTACTGCTTCCCAGCTCTGTGCAAAATAAGCCTGGCTAGGAAGACCACAACCAGAAGGAAGCAGAATGAATGGTCTCTACATTCTGTTCCAGAAAGGAAGGAATCAGTTTCTGTATCCATTTCTAGGAAAACAGAGAGGCAAAGGTAACAAGGCCATGTCAAACACCTGCTTGCCAAAATTTTTTAACCCAAAACTAGTTAATTATATAAAAGCCAAGTTGGCTTTGTTTTTGAGTTTAGAAAGTCTGCACTGACTCTTAGGTCTCTTCAGAGTTTTTTTTATCAGTGCTGATAACTGAACCCAGGGTCTTGCACATACTAGGCAAGCATAATACCACCGAGCTGCATGAACTGCCAAAATCCCAGCTCTCTTCTTGAACTTTTTTTTAAAAATTCAGGCTCCTGAATTCTCTCACTTAAAGAGATACCCTCATGAATCTCTTTTTTTGCCTTCATGAATCTTGAAGTATAAAAATTATAAAGCAATACCTACTTTGTACATTAAGGACAGACAAGAAAGTGAGCCAATAAAATACAACACATCAAAAGAAACAACTTGTTTTTACAACATAAGAATTATTAAATCTGAGGGGGTATATCCTTACTATGACAGTGTTAGGGAGAAAGTTATAAACTAACATTCAGGAAGGATACGGTTTACTTTTAGATCCTAAGTGACAAAGACATTCAATGAAAAACTGATAAGCCCAAGAATTGTCAGAGGAATCATAATTACCTTTAAAAAAGCACATCATATTGCAGGAGGCAGCTATGCATTTTCTATGATATAGAAAAAAATTGACAAAGTTCTTTGGTACTAGCTGGCAGTCACCCAAATTTGCCAAATACCTACCCCTCATTCTCTTTCCTGACAAAATAAGTTAAGCCTTGAGGTTAACCAAGAAAGGATTTCTCCCCTCTCCCTATGCATATTAGTAATTGAAGAATGGCTTTATGATTCATCACCACTAACCAGTTTCCAAACCAAAGCTATTAACCAGTTCTCCTCTCTCATGCACTGAAACTGCTCAATTTCTTTATGCTCCATACCTGCATTTTATGGGACTCTTTATCACTAATGTTCTTTATACAGAAATACATGGAGCAGTGCTGCTAAATAAAGGTAAGTCCTGCCAGCAAAGGGCCTGTAATTAAGTCCTGGAACAATGAATATAAAGCAGACTGCATCAGACTGAAATTCATAGAAGCTACTATTTTTAACTTGTCCAAGGCCATGTAGGCACTAAGCAGAGATGAGACTCCAACCTTAAAGTATAATCTTAATGCCACATTTGTTTAGCATAATAGATAAAAATATAACCATGAATATACCTTTGAAGACTGAGGTATATCTATTAAAGATAATGGGAAAGAGGTACTCACTACAGGTGTGAGCCTGGAACACTCCTGGTAGACAAATTAAAGGAATAATGAGCATATAGAAGGAACAGGGAAAAAAGGTTAGGAAAATATTACTGCAGACTGAAAAGGGTTTCTTAATACCATGCCTAGGATTTATCTGGATAAATATCCACAAATACCCTATTTTTTCCCAGGATGAGTTATCACATTCTCATTAATCTGTGAGATTACCAGGATCTTCTGTTTAAAGACTAGGAGGCAAAAATAAATAAATAAATAAATAAATAAATGGTGAGAGTGGCTGGATATGTAGCTCAGTTATAGGTAGCATGCTTGCCTAGCATGTATAAATTCTGGGTTCAATCTCCAGTACCACAAAAAGCTATCTGCTGAGTGAGCACAGTGGTACACGCCTTCAATCACCCCTATATCATGGGGAGGCTAAGGCAGCAGAATCACAGGTTCAAAACCAGCTCACAACTTAGCCAGATCCAGTCTCAAAAATAAAAAGGGTTGGGTTAGAACCCTCCCTGGGTTTAATCCCCATACCATACATATACATGTACACACAAAGACTTAGGGCCATAATTAAAAGTCAAGAATGGAACAAAAATTTAAACTACCATGCTGTCTTTTCATTCATCTTTCTGAAAGACTACAATATCCTTTAAATATGAATAATGATGTTATTTATGCCTGTCATTCTAACTTGAAGTGTCATGCATGCAGATCAAGAGCTAATGATAATAGGCTTCCATTTTCTAGAAGCTGAAATTCCTTTACAAAATTCAACATGGCATATGCTAGTAATCTTAGATCTTCAGTGAAGACCTGGGCTTGTCAAGATACTACTAAGGTTACCTGAGATGGTAAAATCTATTGTAGGAGTTGATCACTGCAGCTTGGACTGGACTCTTGTTACCTTCCCACTGCCCAGGGCAAATGGAAAACAAGTTTATTTCCTAAGACAAATTGCAATGGTCATCCAACTTTCTGCAAAATGTCAGAAGATATTTCAGGCTTTTTGGTCAAAACAGTCTGGGTATTTTTGTTTGTTTGTTTTAAAAAACAAAAATTATTTTTAGCTCAAAGACTGTAAAAACAGACTGGGCCAGATATGACCCACATGCCTATTGTAGTTTGCGATTCTGATAAAGAAAAATAAACTGAGAATTAGGTGAGACAACAAATGGAACTTACATGAGAGTACATATGGGATTTTATTAGGCAAGATGAATTTGGAACAAGTAGGAAGAGAAATAAACAAGCTATTGTCATGATAACCTACACCAGAACAACTCACAGTAAATGTGAAGAAAATACAGTAAAATTACATATGAATACAGATAATGATAACTAGTAAAGATAAAGGGAACATAGTAGGAAAGGAAAAAAATCTGTGAAATATCTCAAGCCATCAAAAAATTTTCCTTCTACTGTAGAGGGAATGGCATGCGGTTTTGTGTGAAGAAGTGAAGCGCTGGCTCCAGTTAATCACATAAATGACAATTAGAAGAGACAGAAGTCATTAGTACTGTCTGGTTATGTCAGTAGCCTTCAGTGAGCTAGAACATGAA